TCAGAGAAACTCTAAGAAGAATGAGCGCTCTGAGCAGCGACACCAGAAGATCTGGAAGATGACAGAAGGGATGCAAAACAAAGTGCACAAGTATCCGCAGAGTTTTACGAGGTACAGAAAAGACGGCCACGTCAGTCAGCTGATCCTGGAGCAGCCTTTCAGCCACAAACACGCTGCAGCTGCAGCTGCTGCAGGACCTGCAGAGCAGCTCAGGAAGCAGCGGTTATCACTGCGGGTTTAGATATAAACTTTATATACTGCATATAGATATAAAGTTTGATCTAAAGTGGCCACACTTACGATAAATCCACACCTGAGCACTCACCTGTCATATTCAATCATTTTATGACACTGATGCTGACCAGTCTGACGGGTCTTAGATTCACAGAGGAGGCGTCGGCCAATCACTGATGAATATCTTGCAGTAGCCCCTCCCTCTGATAACAGTATTTTGCGGCGGTTTTTATTATGGAGGAAAATAGAGTGGAGCTGATGGATGTGCCAGGTGATGAAGGGCTGCTGATGTGGTCTCTGATCCTCTGCTGTGATCAGATTTACCAGCTGCAGCTCAGATCGGGTTGATTTTCATGGTTTTGTGATTTCACCTGAAACAAACTTTTCGGTTTTTGCTGCTTTAAATGGCGTCAAGTCTCCGAGCTGCGCCTCACAAGAGCGTGCAGGTCGGAGCCGGGCTGCAGGGAACTCTGCGGTCCTTTGCGTCTCACGCATCTGAGACCACCCAGGTGTGAGCTCTGTGATCACGGGTGTGTTCACGAGGAGAAAGAAAGGCCGGTTCCTCTCTGCTGAGCGTGAAATGTCCCTTTGTTATTCCCGGCACCTGAGTGCCCGGAGGCCACAACCAGGAAGACTGAGATGCCTGGATCGACTCTGCTGCTCTCTGCTGCTCTCTGCTGCTCCTCTGTGGACAGCAGGTGAGCTGACTTACCTGAACTTTGATTCTGTCAACAGGGTGAAAAAGGTCTCCCCGGGGAAACTGGTTTTCCTGGAAACGTTGGCTATCCTGGAAAAGAGGGCGATCAGGGCAAACTAGGAGAAAAGGTAACAGACATCTCCTCTTTCTTCTTCTTATTGTTATTGTCATATCGAGTCCCTGCACAGTCCTCTTTACACTTGTTTTTATTATATTACATTTTATTACAAAGTTTCTTTTTAAATGGAAATCCCATCATTAAACATCCAAGTTTGTAGGTTTAAAATCACATTTCAGTCAGATTTAGTTTGAAACGTGATCAGTTTCACACTCGTGAAAATAAACGCTGTGTTTTAGTGGAAAACTGAGGAGGAGGTGAGA